TGTCCAGCCTAAACAAGCAGAAATGCTTGAAGGTTCTACCAAACCTGGATCCGGTGGATGGAGGACGACTCGAGTCAGGCATCACTGAGTTGAAAAGACGAAATGGTGATGAGGAAACAAATTACCGTATCGTAGGTTCCAAGCAGTGGGATAAACAGGTTGCTCACACTTCAGGAACGCTCAGTGATTCCTGCTGCGACCTGAATGTAGCATTTACCAACATTTACAGTCTTATGAACAAGTGTGAGAAAGTATCGTTTTGTCACTTCTGAGCGGCTAGTCACAATGAGACTAGCAAACATGGCGAATTTCTAAAGTGATTGACCAAGCAATCGCGCTCAGTGGGTACTCGTGGTTCCACTGCGATAAACTTTCGACTGCCCGTGGTCGCGTCTTGTTCTGCATGCGGTCTTATCTGTGTAGGAGTATTGTGAGTGTCTACAGAAGCGACGATGGCCTGTGTGAGCAGCTGTGGTGCGCGGTGAGCTGCTCGGGTGTGCAGTTTATCGCAGCCACTAGAGTTGTTGTATGGAGTGTCTGCGGTACTTTCGGAGCACCATGATTGGACCACATTTTCTATTCATATGTTATGTTACTTGTCCTCGAGAACGCTGGTCTGTAATCCAATCCACGCCTTGGCATTGTGAGGTCGAAGCAAAGTTCGTGGATATTGTATATGAAACTGGAACAGCGCAGCACATGTGCCAATCGACACGTAAAACACCGTACTCAGCTCCGTCGTGCCATGACTTGATTTTAACAAGCTGTGAACGATAAGTGTATGACGCTCACCCTGGAGCTACTGATCGCCCGAAACCCCTCAGTGCTCATGTGCAGTATGGATGCACATTTAGAGTACTCCCGTCCGCTGGAGTCAGACAGCCACTACTGGAAAACGGACTTCGACGATCTAACTGAAGCTGCGAGCTAAGTGGATTGGTCTCTGCTGCAAGTTGCATCTGCGGAGGACTGTTAGACCGTTATAATAGAGGAATTGACATTGCTTTGTTCTTGGTTTGTAGCACTGAAGTGTCAGAAAGTTGAAACAATCAAGACACAATGGTATGGCAGACTGTGGGACACATTCCCTCCTCTCCGGGTCTTTCAACAACTATGAAGCGTATGCATGCAGAGGAACGCTTGCAACAGGGTAAAAACGAGCAAGCACCGGCATTTCGAAGAATAGATCGCAACCGCCTCAAACGGCACCCCGAATAGAAACTTTTCTTGTGTGAAGTGGAGCCTGAAGCCTGCAGGTGATCTACCAGTGCTAGAGGGCTCGGGCGGACAATCCACGTTGGCGCCACACAACACGATATTTGCAAATGACCAGGTGTTTGTGCCGAGTTGGACGTGTACCGCGCTAACACAAGTTGACAGTCGGGATTGCGGCGTTGAAGAGGTGTGTCAACTACTCGCCAAGCTGTTGGCCCAAAAAGAATCCACCCAATGATTTATAAGTCCCTATCGGTTATCATCTCATTTGCTGTGACCGAATGGTTTAACTGTCCGAAGGATCACTGTTAGGCGACTGGAAATGCTCAGTTGTAACGCCGATTCTAAAGTGAGTAACTACAAGCCAATTTGTCTGACCCCCATTTTTGATAAGATTGTTGCTCAAGTCGAACGAGGTAATGACGCTCGGACAGTACGGTTTTATGCTAGACCGATCATGCATTATCAACTTGCGCGTGACGAGATATGAAAGGTACATCAGTGAACCAAGGGAATACTGTCGAGGTGATTAACATCGATTTGAGTAAGACGCTCGACAAGGTGACAGTGTGCGGGGTTGGTAGATCACTGCACCAGTGGACCCGGGTTTCTCACTGGACGAAAGTGGAGGGTACAGGTCGACGGCCATCTAACTGAATGGTATCCAAAAGTCAGTGTTTTCGATAAGAGTTCGTCAGTCCAGTACAATTGTATACCAATCAAAGCAATGAAACAGACTGCTAAGGTCGCTGAGAGTAAAACTGCTGTTTGGAAGAGGTCAACCATGGTTAATCAGGTCAATATCTGGGTCCGCACACGATGCAACTGAGTAAAAATCTCAAGTCGATCGGGCCAGCCGTAAGGCCTGAATGAATCGGTTCTGGGTGCACAGATTCGGTAGCTTCAGCAGCCTCTAGTGTCCGGCTGTGCGAATAATTCGATCGATATTCGGAGACCTTGTAGATAATTTTTAAGACATCGGTTAGTTAGGGGTTGTGCCCCGTGTCGGCGAAGTGGGCAGCCATAGAAGATTCAGATACCCTTCTGATTGCAGTCGCAAGCCATTCCCGACTATGTTCTTTCACTCTCTCGGATAGACAACTAGTAGAACGACCAATATATCCTGCTCCACACGAGCAGGTGAATGAGTAGATGCACATGAAGTTGTCGTGGACAGGTCTACTATCCAGGAGACTGAGCATCAACATCGGTGTGCTGGTGAAGTAAGTCGGTAATTTTGCTGTTGGGAAGGTACGTCTGGGCTCCTGTGACAGATGACGAGCAAGAATTTCGGCCGCGATTTCCCCTTTGTACCGAAGTTGTACGAAAATTGTTTTTCTGTTGATCGTTAAAACCAATGGTGTATTATTCCTATGCTCTAAGTGGACTTTTATGAAGCGATCTGGATCGGCATTTTCACGCAGCATCGAGCATATACCTTGTGGTTCCAGAGAGCACATGGTCAGACCTGAGGTGTTGACATCTCTTACTGCATCTATTAAGTAACAACTAGATCTCGGGCTGTACGCTGATGTTCGCTTTCGGGTAAGCTCAAGTGTCTCAACTAGCCACCGTGAGATAGAGTGGTACGGTGAATCTTTATAGCAAAAACTGGCAGTGTTTTGGGTAGAAAATAGAGCCTGGGAATAACCGTACCCACAGGGCGCACATACTTGCAAACCTCTTTAGTAATATACGTTATATTATTTCAGCTTCTTGAGGTAATTGCAGATATTTCAGATTGCTTTGTTATGTCTTACACACTCACTGTTTTCGAAAACCTTGTCGAATCCTTCCACCAATGGCGTGCCGCAAAACACGGTGTTGAGGCCCGCTCTGTTCCTTAGTCATATCAACGGATTACCTCAGCTTCCTCGGTCACTGTGCGCTTTGTTTGAGGACGATCTGAAGATTTGGATAGTGACAAGCATCCCTGACGACTGCGGCCAGATTCAGTAACACATCAACCGCCTCACAATCAAGTCGAGATTCATGATATTTGGGGAAGGGTGGTGACGGCCGAACTTACAGCCTAGAGGGCTAAGCGGTACATCGCATAGATTCGTGAAGGACCTAGGTGCACTCACGCGCTGCGATATGAAGTCCGTGTAGAACTCGAACAGGCTATATTGTAACAGACTGAGCATACTTTGGGCGTTCAAACGCAGCTTTTGCATTTGGTTTGAAAAGGTTGCCACTCCCCTGACAACTATCCAATCACCCGAGACGATGCACAGAAGATCGAACGGGTCCAACACATGGCTACCAAGCGCGTTCCGAGTTTAGGATAATTGGCGTAAAAAGACTGGTGTGAGTCGATCTCATCGTGACCTAGCACATATTAATCTCGGAGACTTCGCCATGTTGAAACTGCTGCTTCACTCGCGAACGCTATGCAGCACATGCGAACACTGGTACAAGTGTATGGCGCCGGATATAAAGGGAGTTGCCCACGTTTTGGGTTTCGAATGGAAAGTGGTAAATATTTGGAACAGTCTGCCAGAACAAGTCATGAAGGCCAAAGCTGTGCAGGAGTTAAATGTTCCTTGGATGTACATTTCACCGCCATTGGATTCAGAAAACGACTGCAATTAGGCAATGATCTCTTATAGTTATGAACCCGATAATACTGTGAGTTAGACATTTTAAATGCTATGTAAGAAATGGAAGAAGGCTTAGAGTATCAACAGGTGGCTGATACGTTTATGAACTTTCTGATTATATTCCGATGGAGTTGTATACACTTAAACTTCTACTTGCTCCCACAACACAGTATTCAGTACAGTTAGGTCACGCGAAAAGCTTTACCGTTCGAATGAAGAAAGGGAACTTGATAGACCATGGGCTGCAGTCAGTGGGGCATAGCGGAAACGACAAATAGCGCTGTGACATCAGTAGCTACCTAAGAACAGACGTGGCTTCTGAGTACAATCGCATACATTCGGTTGTTTCTTGTGATCCATGTTAGATCACCATCTGCACATCCACTGGGATGAACTAAAGCTAAGGCCGTGTGTCAAAGACTCGACATCACCGCAGATGTAAACAGTGTAAGCTCGTCACAGAATTCTTGGTTTGGTAACCGCTGATTCCTCGAGCTGACGATGTATGCAAGTTTCTGAGAAATGATCCACTATGAGGTAGTGAAAGACAAACAGAAGCGAGCGTGGGCATTGAAGGACTCAGCGCAATACAGCACAAAAGACTTGAATTCTTCATTGCAGTCACAAGTGATCTGTTGTAGGCTAGCCATGGAAAAGGAGATGTGACATTTGTTTCACCTGAGCTAAACACCTCATCCAATGGTGTGAAGAGGCTTCGCCTGAGTCTCAAACACTGTCCATGCGTGCACTGAGACTGCACAGTGAGTTTGAGTACTTGACTTTCACATCCGCTTGCATACCAATATTCCGTCAGCATGAGTCTCAGCCGTCCTCGATGTGCCATCCAAGCCAAATTGGTGAAAACGGTGGTTGAAACCTGCGTGAATTGTGCCGATGCAGTCCATATTTCCCGTTTGCCGAACGCGCGTGCATGTTGCGTCCTTTACTACCCCACAACGCCCGATTTCGTCAACGACTGCTTCCGCCTCCAGTTCTGTTACCCATGGGTTATAGCTAAATGAGCAGTATAAATGCTTTAGCCCCGTTATTTTACGGGAGAATTGCAAATGAAGAGAAGTGGAAGAGAAAAACACAAGAAACGGGGTCCTATGGGGATGGTATGTTCAAGCTGATAGGAGTTATCCTTAGCTTATGACTCACTAAGTTGGCCTAGGAGGGACGCTAGTTGAAGTCCCGTCGAGGGACGGATTCAGCAATCGGGATGAAAAGCACCTGTGTATTGGGTCCCACAATAGTCTACGGGAGACCAATTAACGGCGAAACAGCAATCGGAAGAAAAGAAAAGAAAACAGCTTCAAAAGTGACGATAGTGTAGAGGTCAAAATAACAAATAAGCTTGTGTAAACGAACTCACGGTCTCCTTGCCGCACGAGTGCAGGATCACGTTATCGGCGAGAGTGAAATTGTCTGCAACATCCATCACGGCCTCTTCTGATGCACTCGGGTCATGGTTTTCGGTCGTGGAATCAATGTTAGCGGAAGCAGCAGCAGTGGTGACATTTTTAGGAGGCTGCCAAGATGAAATATGGACGGAAAATCTGCCGTCACATTGTGAGACATGACAGCGACAGTAATGATAAGTCACAGGAGGATCAACAGAGGCCTTTTGGTTCAGACGAGCAACGAGGTCCCACTGTTTGCTGCATACAAGAAGGGCAAATAAGGAGCGAAACAGCTATCATCAGTGTAATTTGAATAAAAACTACGAGTACGAAAAACCATGAAAACAAGCTAGTTAGTGCTGTGTAGGGAAGCGTGGGATATCGGTAGCACACGTTGTGTACATCATGTTGATGTTTCATTGTCATGTGACTGCAAGCGGTCGCCCGCAAGATGGGACATCGCAGTCTCCCAAACTCAAGAAAGGGCGGGGACTCGAAACACAGACGTAGAGGTTTAAAACCAAACACTGATCTAATGGAAGACGAATCCATGTAAGTGATAAGCTTCCGTGTGCCACACCACTTGCATGATTGTCAGTTATACAGATAATGTATTTAGGAGCAAGAAAAAGGTTTTGCACAACTATGGAATTACGAAAAAGCAAAATCATTTAATTGTGAATCGTCAGCGGTAGTGTTTTATCAGTTAATGATTTTTCTTTGTTCAGTTAGGAATTCGTATAGGTGTACGAATAGGTGTACGGCATACGATGTCTTCTTTTGGCATTGTACGTGCGCCGTTTCACAAAAGCACAGGTTTCCGAAATAATCGTCGATACGTGTTTTAAAAAATTTCACAGAATCAACCTCTATTAATCCTTCTGGTAGTGTATTCCATAAATTTACGAGTCTTCGTTCTATACAAAGCTGATGTGATACCTTGTTCATGCAGGGTACCCCGAGTTTGTGATGGTGTCCTCGGGTATTACAGGGTTCCCGCAGGTGAAATATTGGCCGCAGTAGGGGGAAGTGATTCAAGTGTAGTACTCGATGGGTCATAATAAGGTCAATCCTTACTCGGCGGTAGGATAGTGTGTAGAGTCCGAGACTTTCACATGAAAGCTTTCGTAGACTCGGTGTCATTCTAGTTGCGATATGCTGTATTTTATCCAGGTTTTCAGTTTCCCATTGGGTTATCAGATGGTAAGTTGGGGCACCGTATTCAAGGATTGGTATAATGAGCGAGGTGAACAGGCGAGGGACGGTTTCTTCGGACCATGTGGAGAAACTGCGTCGTAATGCCCAGAGCATACGAAGTCCCGCACGGTACAATTTCTCCGTATGTTCTAGTGATCTCATATCATGTCGCGAGAGCAGCTTAACGAATGAATGGAAAGGATAAATAAGTTTTCCAACCGAAGAATGAGCAGTATCCCTTCCACGACACTGGTGTGATAACAAAATTATGCTAGAAAGCGAAGCACTTTCCATAGTGAATGGTAGGGAGCTTTGTGGGGATTTGGTGTAGATTCATCGAAGCTGAACTCAGGCAGACAGTCATCACACACACACGGAAGCGTTACATGGTCTTTTCGTCCTATTGGGACTCGTTAGTAGCATGCACCTACCGAATCCTGCGGAATTCCAGCCCCCGACATTACTCTTACGAGCCAGCGACTTATGTAACTGAGCCGTGGGTAACTGCAACGGACCGCCATGGCTGATATCTAACTGCGATATCGCGCAACTCATCCTCCACTGACATGCAGAGATATGGCTTACTTTGTGAGAGCCGCCACCAATCAAGGTGTCATGTAAGCTGCTAAGGCGATTACTGGTAATTAGGCTTGATTCAAGAGTGAGAAAAAAGAAAGGCATCGGCAGCACGCCGGTAAGTAGTACCGACGCTTAGCTGTAGCGCAAACACCACCAGTCGCGTGTGGGCTAAGGATACTGCGAGGGTCTCCCAGCCCCTACGTAGACACGAAACAGCGCTGTCGGATTACAAGGCACACTTGTGATCCTTAAGGCTACGAGCCAAGAGTGCGCACAGTATAGTGGAAACAAACGGCGCCTGCTTTAGACATTATGCACCATTCTAATTAGTACTAAAGAAGCCTGAAGCAAATTCTTGTCATTTAAGAGTCAAGACGATATGCCGCCGTCATAATCCGCTAGCGTCAAGAGGTAATGCGTTCGGTACCTGGTGGGAGCGGGAGGTGTGTACCACTGCTGAGATAAAGAAACAAAACGGCTGTCCAGCGCTTTCCCAGATGTGTTGGATCCTGTGTGTTTGGGAGCTATGACGAGCAAGCTATAAATTCCGCGAAATATCGTGCACCCACGCCTACATTTAATAGTGCTGAAACGCTCAGAAGAAATTCGCTTAACCAGTACAATCAGTCCTGGTTGAGTAAACCAGTGGAACAGGGTAGAGAAGCGTGTAACAAATGCATGTTAAAACTACAGATAACCACGCACTTTCTGCTTAATTCTACGCTGTATATACACATCAAACAGAACAACTTAATCGGTGGGTTACGGGTTAATGAGGGTTGAGGTGATGGGGGCTGAAGAAGTGTACATAACTAGTAGTGACGAATCAAACCCGCTAAATAGTGGAGTCGAATGCAATTGCATCTAAGGGTTATAGAAACGAGCACTCACCATGTTGGCGATAGATCGTTGCGAATGGTGTTTTTAACGTGAACGACCGCACCAATGGCTATCAGTGTGTTGAACTCCTTCGAATTGAGGGCAGTACCTAGGATTAGAGAGGTTGATAAAACCGAGAATGCATGATATCGTAGAGAATAATTGTGGATTCACTGTAAAGAATTTTAAGCGGAAACGATGGATCAATCTGCCTAGCTACGGAGGAATAGAGAAACACGGAAAACCGGTGAAAGGAGTGATAAGGTGCATGGGAATAACGCTGGACTGCATTGGAATGTCTGCACGAGGACTGAGGCCGTGCACACTATGCTTCCACTCTGCAGCCGAACCAAAGCCCAGTCTGTGTGACCACTTGTGGCACACCATACATAGGTTCGTTGCTTTTGGAACCATGGTTTATCCCAGTCAACTACATGCTTATGAAAGATGGGTCAACATGTAATGGCACGAACCAAGAGGCAATTGTAGTGTCAACGGTTGACATATGCACGTCATCGGGGATTGATTAACCAAGGTCATCAAATATGAGGTGACGCTCGTTTCAGCACTAAGTCTGCTGATAAATAAGAGTGTGAAGGACTATCCTGCACACACAAAGTGTATGCAGTGTGAAGCCAGATGGAAGTTGGTCCACAAACGAGTTCTAAGCTTATACATCAACTTCGCCCATATATGGAAAGGGTTTTTAGTGACTAAGCTAAGCCTCTTCTAAATGTACACCGCTTGACCAGATGTGCACTGACGCTATGAAGTCAAGTTGAGTTAATATGTGATATATCGCGGCTCTTATAGATATACTACATATACCAAGATGCAGATGTCATCCAATGTTTCCTACATTATTCTTATGGTTTGTCTGTCTTCTCCTTATCACTACGGCTATTGGTTAAAATAGTACGGTACCTGTCTGTGATCTTACCAACTCGAAGCTTAACGCTTCATGTTATTTCCGTGCGAACAGAAGCCTTTTTTACTTTTGTGCTCAGTATACCCATCCGTCGACTCCTCGTTTCTGATGGAATTCATTGATGTTTTCCTTAGCATTCTACATACTCGAAATTGCATATACCCCGGTCGAGGAAAAATTATCGATACGGTGGTTGTAAGTCACTTCTTTCTTTGACTGCTTATGCACATACAATCAACATTCACCAAAATTATCCACAACTGCAAGAAACGCTGCTCATGAGCGATACCAACTAGTTATTCAGAAAGAAGTCGGCCTGGTGGTCAGTGTTGTGCGAAGGACGCAAAACATGTCGTGCGTAGTCACAGCGGTTTTGACCGAACAGAATACCTGTTGTCATATGCTTGCGGTATTGTTCAGTGATATGTCAAGTTTGACCATGCAAGATGCACACACCCAGCCGATACCACTTGTAGGGTCGTTGGCTCCAAGATACTGCTAGTAGTTGTAGTTGATGATAGCGTGCTCGTGGTGACAACACCAGCACAAATGGGAGTACTTCCGTCAAAGCAAGAGCATCGACCCGGGTACCGCACGGCATACACTTCAGTCGAGTTGGAACGAGTAAAGGAAGAAAAAATGGCATAAGTAGTACGTCGGTAAGCGGTGCCGAGGCTTCGATGCGGAGCAACCACAAACTGTCACACGTAGGCTAAACATAATTCGAGGATCACCTGGTCCCTAGCGGCCTCGGATTACAAGGCAGGCTTGTGATGGTTAAGGCTACGAGTGGGCAACCCAAGGACTGATTCCAGAACATGTCATTAGCCAGTGTTGTGCCGAATCTGCTAGAGAGAGAGAGAGAGAGTAGGTCAATCCCCCAGTAAGGAAGAACGAGCAGGGCGAGTACGCGGCAAAGACTGCAGTTTATTCCACACCAAAACGTGAACCAGAAGAGAGTTAATTTACACTGTACATCCTGCGCTACTCATCGTTCGATTGCTCTTGGGGGTTGATTTCAAACAAACACGAGTCGCTTAATCTATATATACCCAGTGTGTTAAAATCTGGCCATTGCATCAGTCAGCCTGGACCTTGAGTTTAGCACGTTCTGGTCTTCGAGGCAGGTGACTGTGTGACTACGATTCACGAGCCTCATTGGCCTGCGTGCGAGAAACCGTCCTCTCCTAGCAGTCAGAAATTGCCCGTATATCGTGGTGGTGCTGAACACTGTGTCTATAAGATTGCAGGCGAGGTAATGACCCAATAGATTCACGCGTATATGGGTGACATGTGTTGGGAACAAGCGAGATTGCAAAAAGACAAGCGTGGCATCCAGAAAGTCGCTTTCTGGCATCTGTACATGAAGCGTGTGGTTGCAGCCGTGGATGAGGCAGTGCACAACATACGTGCAACCAGATGAAACATGGAAAAGGTGTTGCCAAGAACAGTACAGTAGTAAGGTTGGATGGTAGCCAATACAGTCAACAAGAGCAGTGTAAGAAGACTCAAAACACTGCGCATTAGCAATTAATATGCAGGAAGGTCGCTGGTGGCCAAGTAAGGTTCTGATGAAAGTAGATGGAGACCAGGCCTTTGATTTGGTAACTAATTTAGATATAATAGCTGACTTAACCAAGGATCTCTCAACGCTTGAAAGTAATACGAGGGCAGAGCAATAAGTTTCCGGATACGCAGTACACAGAGTAGGTGCAGATGACCTAGCAAGAAAATTTTGGACTGTAATCCGTTTTGAACATTTTTCAGTGATTTCAACTCACAGAACTCTATAGCAGTAGCCTGGTACTGCTCACAAATCGTAAGCGTCGCTATACTCTGTAAGTATGGAACTCAGTCGATGTCATTAGTGAGCATTGATTTTTAGGACAAAAAACGTGGCTCAAAGCAGCACCAGAACGCGCTGCATTTGGTGAGGAGGAGTTACAAGAACCGTCGTGTTGGAGTGGTTTGCGGAATTCAAGCGGGGCAGGCGGTAACCAGATGATGAGGCACTGTATGGTCGACCTGTGGAGGCCACCACCGCGGATAACATTGTTGTTGTGCAAGCGATGTTGGAACAGGACGCGCCGGTGACTGCGGCACAGCTGGAGAAAGTCATCGGGATCAATCCGTACTATCCTGTAGGGGAACCTCGACAACAGAAAGATTTGTGCACGCTGGGTACTCCGTTAGCTCAGTGATGAGCAGAAAGCGGCTCGGGTGAAGTGGTGCTGCACCATGCTTGTCATGTTTGATGGTGGACGTTCCAATGCTGTTTTGGAGACCTAGGTGCACAATTTCGACCCAGAGACCAAGCAACAACCGGCTCAGTGGACGGCCATTGGTGAGGTGCCGTCTCAGAAATTCAGGTGTGAGTGTAGTATGGCTAAGCAGATGGTGGCTGTGTTCATGTCCAAGACCGGTCAGGTGGCTACTGTACCGCTCGTACGGCAATGCACAGTCACCGGAGACTGATATGCCACAAGTGTTGGAAACTGGAGCCAGGTGTCCAAGCATTCGAGCACGAGGGATCTTGCTGCATCATGACAAGGCACCTGCACACAGGTACCAGGTCGTCGACTTTTTTGACTAGGGACCGCATCCGGGAGGTTGGTCACCCACCCTATAGTCCAGACCTGGCTACGTGTGACATTTTGTGTTCCCAAATGTCAAACGCATGATGCGTGGCATGCGCTACGAGTCTCCAGAAACTGCAGTAGGGGACTCTATTGAGCTGCTTGAAGAGTTACTCGCTTCGGCATGGTCTAGCTGCTTTACAAAATGAATTGAGCGCATGAAACTGAGCACGAACGCTGGTGGAGAGTAAGTCGAGAAAATGTAATGTTTTGTTGTAAAAAGAATAAACATTTCGTGCATCTAGAAACTTACTGCTCTACCTTCGTAACGCAATGATCAGATGGCGTAACATACCAACGTTGAAATGTTACAAAATTAGTGCTGTTTGGACGCACTTCAGCATCCACACCTTAAACAACAGCGAGAATAAGGGAGATATACACTGGTGCCTCCTTGCCATGATTCAAAAGTAACATAAATAAAGAATGGCAAGTGGAACCTAATGCGATACTTGGCGGTACGCAGCGAACAGCTATGCGTGTCGAAGATCCTATGATCCCAAACCACAGGGCAGTGGTAAAATTATGTGGTTTCTAATATTAGGTTTATCGCGGCTGTCACTAGCAAACTTGTTCCATGAACAACTTAGCAGCAGGTATGTTTAAGTAAATCGGCTAGGAGACGACAGCAGCCAGACGATGTCGGTCACGTAACCTCACCTGTAATGTCCAAAGTCAGCCACAGGTCTAGTAGCGTGGAAACCAGCCGTGCAGGAGGGTTATATTACCATACTTAGCATCTGAACAATGACAGCACAATTGACAGTGCCAACGGTGAACCGTTGGTTGTCCTTGTCAACTCTGACACCATGCTAAACGCGGACTGAGAGTGCAGTGTTTCATAAAGCAGCATGGATGAAGCCGAAAATCTCAAAGTACACAACTACGTGCTGTCATTTCAACAAAGGGCGAAGTAGCAGAAGTGAGCAACGAAGTACCGCACCAAACGAACAAAAAGGAGAACGAATTCCGAACCTTTGAACCCATCTGGATAAGTTTCGGTGAGAAATTTCGTGGAAAAATCACCGGAGACGAACCGCTCCTCGGTGATAACGTCGCGTAACAATGGGATATTGTGGGACACACCACGAATCACATAGCTATCCAAGGCCTTAGCCATTGTGTTGAGGGCCGACTGACGGTCAGGACCGTAGGTGACCAGCTTGCAAATCATCGGATCGTAGAAAATCGAAATTTCGGAACCCTCAGTGATGCCACTGTCGCAACGGACATTGGGAATGTGGACCGGTTCGCTGTAGGAATACAATCGACCAATTGAGGGAAGACCAAACGACTTGTAGGGGTCTTCTGCGTATACGCGGCACTCAAGGGCCCAACCATTAATGGAAACGTCATCCTAAAAATTATGGAAAAATGGCATTAAAGGCGTTGCAAGGTTTGTAAGTATGATAAGGATAAACGGTATCTCTCAGACCAGTTGCGACTACGATTAATATTAATGACACGCTACTTGGACTAAAGATGCCGTGTTATCCACATAAGCAGGTGGATAACGCGTAAGTTAATAGATCTAAAATTTAGGGACAAGAGCCTCACGGAAGAGAAAACAGGATAGTCACCTACAAGTATTAGATGTTACTCGTTCCAAACGCTGTACTCTGAGACCGGTGGAAATCCCCGAAATTGAAGCTATATGAATAAATAAACGGTATATTCATCGACAGCATAAGACACAGTGCGCGCTTGATCTCGCGGAGCTCGCTATCATGCGAGCTTCGCGAGTTATATTTGTTAAAACGGCAAGTTAGCCAAATACCCCTTCGCGGTGCCAGCTGGGTGGTTCGGGTTTGCCCCGTTCCAGCTAATAGTTCGGCGGCAGTATTCCAGGACGTGGTGGGTTTCCGCCTGGCAAGCGTTCTCCCTATAAAAAGCCATAAATGTCTGTTCAACAACACTGTGACGTGGCCGTTGTGACTCGCCACTAACTAAAGTTACCCCCTTGCTTATCCGGACAACCGCTTCAAGACCACAAACATCAAGCATTACTTTAGCACCGGCGACACAATCAAAAGTGCAGGAAAACATCTACAATTCCCATAAATACGGCTACACACGCCTACATGCACACATACAAACATTCATATAATAACATATGTGACAATCCTATTGTTCCATTGTATATGAACTGATCACATTTTGTACTCTTACCATGATCATGCCTGTGCAGGCGTGTCTTGCGTAGTCGAGAATAAACATATCTATTTCGGTGTGGTTCTACTTCATCCCTGCACACCACGAGTGACGGTTTCGTCTTGGTTTAGACTTATCAGGTAGAGACAGCCGAGTTGGAATAGCCAGCAAGCACTATGCGCCGAGTTCCACTCCCAGCTACGCTATCTCAACCTGATGAGTTTAAACCAAGACGAAACCGTCAGTCATAGAGTGCAGGGATGGGAGAGAGGCACACCGAAACCCTCCATTTCAGTGACGGTCGAAGTGACCGTATTGGCAGAGTCTGACTTCAAAGCCAACCGAAGTCACGACTGAGATTGCGTGTCGCAATCAAGACACACGGCAGGTGATCCAAAACCCGAAAATCAATTTTATGTATTTATTTGTTTGTTTAGTGAGTGGACTGTAAGAAGCAATTTGCACTACGATTCGCATTGAGTGACCAGAAAATGCATATCGTGTCTTATGAAAATGACTCTGCCCAACAGGGGAAGCGCCACACTGTGTAAAACACGGAGGTCTGATGTCAATAGACCAGTAGGTAGCGAATGAAGAATCCGAGATTTTCTTTTGAGCGGTGAGATACTGTCGGGACAGAGTGTGAAAGAACATCATTACGGTAAAAATATAACCACGTTCCTTAACATGAGCGTTGCAGGAAGCTCGATTTGCTATGCTCGTATAAAACATTGATAGCCCGTTAGTAAGCGCCACCGGAACGAAAATGTACAAGCAACCGGTGTGCTGCGAGATATAGTCATCATATGTTCGAAAAAAGGTGACGACAGAAATGTTCAAATAGTCATAATTAGCATACCGAATAAACGAAAACTAGAATTGGGTCAAATAAGTAAACAATAAAGAATATCATAGAAGTATTGAGTGTAGAGACATAATGGGAAGTCGCAAAATTGGGCACGTAACAACGGATATGAAGTATGATGTCAGATGACAGAATTGCAAACTACCAGCAATACAGGAGGAAAATCGTTACCTGACTCAACATGAGCTTGTGTCCTTTTCCAATGCGCAGCATTTGGTGAACAATATCGACCCCAGTGGTGCATTCGGTGATCGGATGCTCCACTTGCAGTCGAGTATTCATTTCAAGGAAATAAAAACATTTCTTTGAGTCGACCAGGAATTCAACAGTTCCTGAGAGTAAGAACAAGAGAAGAAAAAGCACGTAGGTTAAGCAAAAGACAAACGATGTCCCACCAGAAGCCACTTCAATCCAAATGACATTGTGGGTATCGTCAGTGCTCCGGTAGGTCCGCACAAGGTACCATACTGTGCGTGTATACAGGCCAACTGTCGCGAAATGAAACCGGTTACCAAAGAGGAGTTTAGTCGGGTGAAGCGCCGGCGTGAACAGCTAATGACATGGCAAGTAGTTATGGAAAAAACAAACGATAAATCGAGTCAAGTTGGCTCATGTCGCTCGCCTGGATGAGGCCCTCAGGATCCGGCGCATAACGGCCGGACGCATTGGCGGGGTCTTTGAAATGGCCGTTGCCGCTCTCCCGATACATCGTTTTTGCACTACCTACTGCGAAGATATTAACTTTGTATGTATACTTTGACGAATTATTTGGCTGAACAATTTCGACGTCACTGAGGCTGCTCAACCCCACCGATTCGTTGAAAATTTGTCCGAGACACAGGCATAACCAACAATTTGCTACTTTCATCTAAATAAAACGAGCTGTCTAGAAACATTTTAACAGTTCCTCTTGTCAACCGGATAAATATGCTTATAATACTTTCTATCAACATACGATCATTGCTCAAAGATGTGGGAGTGGTTAATTTCACTTGCAGAAGCAAGGAGAGGCAATCAAACGTCGAAGTGCTGGGAGCTGTGCTCCGCTTACCGGTACAAGAAGCAGAAAACTCGTTAGGCAGAAACCTGTGTCGTCCTTGGATCTTGACTGTTTACTCAAGTGTGCACACTTTCCCATTCTGTTTTGCACTTATAAAAGTCTCATATTTGTTGATGCTGTTTTATCCCATTTGTGTCAGGTAGTGTAAAATGCTGCGTGCATAAAGCTTGACTTGACTTGACATCGGACTTGGCACGGTTATGAAGCTAATGACGTTTGCAATTCCTAACTCTCCACTATTTAAACTGTCAAAAAACATTTCTATGTCTTCTTAATGAGTATTTTGATATTTCGATGCACGGGTTAGGGGAAATTAACAAACATTAGTGATCAGGATACGAGTTAGTGGCACACAATAGTGAGACTACAACTCCGGAAAGGACAAATAATGGCTGCTCTTCAAGTTCTTTGTCTTCTATTGCATTCTCCGAATAAACCTGGCTCGAAAATTCACGACTGATAACTGGCACCAGTGGCATATCGACTGCACCGACAACCAGGCTTAGTGTTATACTCTTCAACCTATACTTTACCAGAATATTACTTAGCTCTATTGCCACCATGTGTTAGTTTAATCAACGGCAAGTTGGTAGACTCCACTCCCAAATGCAGTTAACTATCCCTTAACTCATAATTTCACTTCCATTTTAACTGTTTGCACACCAGTTATTTGCTGACGAGTTGGTAAATTGGAGACTCAGGTCCGCTCAATACGACTTCAATCCATCTTGTCCCGTGATACATTTCAATTCAAGAAAGTGCTTCGGTTGTACCTGATTTTATCATTTGCCAGTGAAATAATCGAAACATTGATAAGACTTTTACTCGCACATAAATTGGCATGCATATCATAAACATTTTGTTAACACATTTCTGGCGCGATTAACTGCCGAACCCAATTTCTAAGCCATGTCGGCCTATCAAATTAGTGTCAAGCATAGTTATAGTATCATATAACCCACTCGTATTGCGCATGCCTGTCCAGCGTTACCCGGTTGTTGTCGACTACCTGGTTGGGGTCCGAGAGATGAGGATACTTGCTGGTTGAAAACCTTGGAAGTTATGGCTCAAGATCGATGTCAATGGCGGACGTGTGCATCAGTGTGTTGCGGTGTCCCTTCCTCTTCCCCCTAAAAAAGAACAAATTGAAAAAAAATTTCAAAAACTGCGATTGGTAAACTTGAAAAAAAGCACTCCTTGTTGCTCTTTTCTTATTATTCATATTGTTTTCCTATTCAGCCATGATTCCGATGGCACAATATCTGTACCACAGATTGTGTATAATATAATAACCCACTCGTCCTGACCAACCGGTATTTACACCCCCTAGGCAGAAACGACACCTCTGACAATGATTTCTAAAAACATTGGTCAAAATATTTACCGTTCGTAAGCTTGAAGAAATATGTACAAAAGCTTACTTTAACCATACCCATTCCTTTATGTTTGTATATAAGGGACCTATAACGAACTGCAACATCATCTGCTAGCCAGTTGCACCCTCAAGTATAGGCCGTTCTTTGCAATTCCCTTTAAAATCATTGACTAACGATCCACTTATATCCATCACATTCCTTATCTTTACAGCGTTCGCGGCCGCAATTCGTCCAAAGTTATGATGAGAACAGCATCACTAACAATAGTCGTTTTATCGGAAGTAATATCTGGTTGGTATTTGGGAGTAAAATGAACTAAAATTCCTTTTTGTTGACGAACGACCAAGAAACATAAACAGTTCTGAATAGAACCTTAACACAATGATCGGACCAGGTTCACCGGACAGTGTTTCCCATTTGCGAAGAACAGATTATTATTACTAGTATTACTATTAGTATTATGAGGTTTCAGTTACAGCGCCTCGACGAGAAGCAACCGTGTTGAATTGGGATCACCGGAAATCCTGCAAAGATAGACGGACGCGCTTTCATGCTTTGCCTTCAAGTAACAGGTTGACCACCGACGAGTTCCCTTCAGTGCAGTGCTGATTGAGTGAGTGCAACGTGATAAACGAGGGCAAGATATTATCCGCATACATCATTCGACAGATCAGCTAGAGTGGGAAATACTAGCTATTGTGCAGCAACACAAACCAATCAGGTGACGACAAAAAAGAACAAAGAAAAACAAAAAATAGTACCGCGTTGCTTGAGTGTATGAAGACAAAAAGGACACCAGTTGCATGCCGATAAGCCGTAGCGACACTTCGTTGCTACCTAAACCCCAAAGTCGCAACACTAGGGATATCGCGAGGGCTCCCAGGTTCCCTATGAAGGCTCGAATGGGTTACACCCGGACTGAAAGGTAGACGCTTTGTCCTTTAGGTCATCGACAGGCCCGGTATGAGATCCCGGATGGAGATGGAAGCTAAGCCAAATTAGGAAGTAAAAAGAAACTCACAACACAGATGTCATTGTGATCGGTTCATCGCCAACTAAACAGGTGTCTCCAAGCAGACGTGATCATCGTCTTGAGAATCCCAACCAAGGAGTAGATAAGCTCCAACCGACGCCAACTTCGAAGTGAGGGACATCATTCCTGTTGGCCAAGTCATTGCTTGGATTACCCGTCGCTCCTTCCATCTTTCTCCCGGAAGAGCAAATAACCTAGGTCCCGGCAATCCGTGTGCTGGCATGCGCAGCAAGTGGCCCAGCCATCGAAGCCTGGTGCGGGATAAAACGGTGCTGAAAGGCAAATGCATCAACAGTACGCCGGTACGCAGTACAGACGCCTCGCTGCTGCGCAACCACCACCGGTCGCACGTGGGCTAAGGATACTGCAAGGGGTCGCCCTGCCCTACACAGATTCCAACCCGCGCCGTCATATTACAATACTAGCTTGTTACTTATAGGCTACGGGCCGGTGATGAGCGTTTCACTCGCTCTTCCTGTATCAAATGCACAACGCCGAACACGATCATTGCTCACCCGATGTTTCAACCAAACATGAGCCAAGCTGCGAAGCCATTGATGGTTGAATGTAACAAGCCTCTTAATGTCTTTTAACTTGATAGGGTGGATTTCGCAAACGCACAGGAGAGTCGAGCGCAAGGCTGCGTTACAAACCCTGCCCTTCAAGGCGAGAATGATGTCGTGCCGATGCTACAGATGGCGCAGATTGGCAAAATCATCTCGGGCTTTTGCTATAAGGTTTGTGATATCATCATTTGTTCCACAGACACTAACATTGCGACCTTGATACATAAATTCTTGAAAGACTTCTAGCAGATCACCGCCAAGGGTCAACACAGGATAGGGTCGCTGCCAATCTTGGAGAAGGGATTTGCATTTCAAAGGTGCAAAGCACAGCCCAAAACGACTGACAGCCAGTGCTAATCGGTCCAGTGCTGCATGGAACGTTTGGGAGCTATTACAGATTAAGGAAATCTCGTCAATATATTCCAAAGGAAGAATTTGCTAACCAGGAAACAGCTCCACACATCCACTATAGTGTCCAGTGAATGTCATTGCCATGTCTTCGTCAATGGCGAAGTTAAAAAGGAAAGTGACGGCGGGTAACCTTGCTTGACATCGTTGGAAACAATGAGGGGTGGTGACAGTTTGTCACAAGCCCCCACTCGGCCTGAACCATGCGCGTACGACGCTCTGACACTGTCTACACACGTTTCCTGAGCACATAGCCCGAAAGAACATATCGATCCACCGAATCGAATGAACTTTCGTTGCGTGCCTAGTTCTCCCAGCCACGTCAAAAGAAAGAAGACACACCGGATCAGCACACTATCGATCTGCTCTCGATCCTGCGGTTCCGGTACAATCATCCGTGCTTCAAAAGCTCACTCGATCGATCGCACAACTGGGCCGTGATAGCGTGGGTATGTCTCAGTCCTGTGATTGCGAACGCGTGTGAGGAACTAATGTTGCTCGCTCTGCTCTCCTAACATCCTCTCTTTTCTCTCCGCTACGCCATGACACTACACGGTAAGTAACAACGCACTGTGGACAATATTCCAACTTGGACCTTCAGATGGCCAGTTATCACCAAAGTATCGCTACTCCTTATGAGACAAAGAAGCTCGTTAGATTGCTGATATAACTAATCTTTCAGGGAGTCAGTGCTACAATTTGTGTGGGCGTATGCAGCAATGACAAACTGACACCTGTTAGCACCGCGCGAATTCAAAAATTTGAAGGAGCCAGCCAGTCTGACGGGGCACACCAGGCTACTGATCGGGATCCAATCGATCAGGGCAGCTTCAGTCCAGAAACTCAGAGCAATACCCACACCGGCTTGACCGGCATTTGGAGATGAGTCAACTCCGAACAAGCGCAGTGAGAAAATGCTACAAGTGTCGCATGTGCAGAATCATAGGGTGAGCACAAAGTTCGAATCTTTCGCGCGGGTATCCGACAAGCAGCAAATATTGACCGATTGGGTCTGTAGTGTTCCGGCATGTGCTGCCGTTGCTCAATCTGCAACAATGGCGTATGTTGAGACGTGCCAGTCTTATTGAGGATCCAGGGCTTCAAATAGGTATGGATGTGCAGATGTTGTATGCCTGGTTGGACATAGACTTCTTGACAGGAAAAGAGCGACGCCCAGCAATTGCGTGTGAATTTAAACTAAAAGATAAATGCCTATTGAAGCAAGATGCAGGAAAGCCGAGAATTGGGGGTTGAGAACATGGGGGATAAAAGTGAAGTGGGAACGGGAAGATGAGGAGGAAAAAACGCAAACGGTGGGAGAAGAAGCACCAAACACCTATTTACCCTGCTCAATGCAGTATATAGGGCGTGGGTTCTCATCCTTTGTGGCCAGAGCATCAAGCAACTGCTTGAGGAAAGGATCATAGTATTGCATGGGCAAGATACCGTCAGGTCGCCCACGCTTAGACAGGAGAACGGTCAGGTTTCTCAACTAAAACCAACCTAGAGGACTAGGAAATTGAGTTTGTCTGGCCTCTAAGCATTGACCAATCTGGTATGAGTAGCTCTGAAAGTGAAAAACACCACCCAGCGTAGCTCAATGGATCGCTGAGCAACGTAAACCATCGCATCACGGTAAGGTCTAGCCTCATTGCGATGGAGTTGATCATCGCTGAGGCACTAATGGGTCATCTAGAAAGATCTAACATCATATCTCAAACGCAACATGGATCCTGTCAGCATTGGTCATGTACCACCAATCCATTGAGTGCGCGTGGTGGTTAGACCGAGAAAGCCGATAGTGGAACCGGCAATGATGGATGGATGGAAAATTCCTCCCTTCAGCGGCGGCTTTAGGTTCGGGTTCGGGGATCATACTGACGTGGGCTGCGGTGTTCCACAAGAGTCAGTGTTATGACGACGATAATAATAATAATAATAGTAATAATAATAATAGGTATATTTGTCATCAAGTAAGAAGTTGCATCCATACTTGGCAGAGATCATATAAGTACAGGCAATATCATGCTCACTCATGGGTAATATAAAGTAATGTTCTTATATGTTTGTGTTTCTGGGAAGGGTGTTTCCCAAATGTTTGTGATTTATGCGAAGTAGAAGGAAGCTTTGTAGTTTGAGAGTACTGAACACTGAGGGCCAATTACATTGCGCCAAATTTCGGCATTTAACCACTAGACGCTATCTGGGCCTCCATTAAACAAATCGTCAAATGATCTTCCTCACAAACAAGAGGACATAACGGTATCAGAGTCGAGATAGCTCCCCAGCTTACTGTGAAATAACTGCACAATCTCACACGACCTGGATGTGATTGAGAGCCGACTGCACAGAGCAGCATATCTGATTAGAAAGAAGTTCAGCAGCAAAATTTTCTTGCATCGTAGTATAACCGGGGTAGTCATTTTTGTTGCGAAGGTCGCACGTGGAAATGTGCCGCAATGTTAAGGTAGGTAAATTGTAATGGGTATTGCCATGAATCAAATTGTACAGAAGTATTAAGTTATGCTTTAATCAGTGTTGAGGGTGCACTTATTCTTTGTCCTCATTAACGACATAGCGCGTGTTATTGAGTCGAATATTCTGCTTCTGGTCGAGGACATCAAGATATGGTTAGCGATCGGTTGTCAGAGAAAGCATGATCTGCTGCAACAAGACTGAGACCGCACTTTTAAAAGGTCAAAGGTAAATCTACTTCCGTTCAACGCGGACAAGTGCAAAACTGTACATGTAGGCCACATGTCCACTAACGCATTTAAGCTTGGAGACCATATATTGAAGACCGCCTCACAGAAGCAGGACCTTGGGGTGGTGATGGAAGGTGACCTCGGCTGCTCAGCGCAGTTTTGGAAGGCATCCAAATCCGCGAACCAATATGTTGGTCTATTAAGAACGGCGTTCGAGCAGTTTGACCCCCCTTCATATTCCCCTACATGCACAATGCGTATTTAAGGCCCCATGTAGAGTATGCGGTTCAGTCATGGTAACCCTGGTTAAAACGCGATGTAGTTGCACTGGAGACCGCACTGAGAAGGGTAACGAAAATGCGAACGGCTTGTTCCCCATGCCGTTTAGTGCGTTAAGTTTTATTCGAATAAACGTGACCACTATATTTTGTTTTGATGAGTATTTTTTATAGTATATATAGGACAAAATTCTTTTTTGGCCGTGATTTCCAGCTGCTAGTTGTGGGAAAACAGAGTATATGTATATTAACTTACATGTAATCGAATTCACAAATTACAGAAGAGTAGTAGGGAGAGTTGAATGTTATAGGAAGAAATTCATCACATCTAGGCTCACTCAGACAGTCGTCACACGCCCGGAAAAGCACTGTACGCGCGTTTCATCCTTTCTGGTATCGTCAGCAGTGCGCATTCCATCTGGCCCTGGTTGGGCTCGAACCTGCAAGTGGACTGTTGCCAGTCCGTGGTTGAGATCACTGAGCTACGGGGGACGGCAACGACCATCGTGAATAAATTACTAGATGTGATATAGCGCCGCTCACTATCCACTGACGATTCCCGAAAGGATAAAACGCGCGTACAGTGCTTTTCCGGGCGTGTGACGACTGTCTGAGTGAGTCTAGATGTGATGAATTTCTTCCTAGAATTCACAAATACCATTCACATTGGCATCCGTAGATTTATTAGAAATTCGTTTTTACCATTTCTCCCCTATCGTAAAAGAGCACTTATTTGGTTCCACGCATTAAACTGCTTTCTCTTACTTAGAAGCATTAGTGCAGCCGCCATGGTAAATTGGCCAAAATCTTACACGTGTCCCTTGTTTCCGGTCTGCTACCACAGACATCCTGGGTTACGAATGCGTTATTCACTACACACAGGACTCAGAGACCTAGTTTGATGGCCAAGACTTCAACATACCGTAGGATCTGAGGACTAGACATCGTGCGCGCAAGGTTTACACAATGTTTATGAATTAGCAAGTGACGGGCGATTGACGACGTTAGTTGTTTCTTCAGAACTTCATTTCGTTCTATCGACCGCATTCGGAGTGGCAGACGTAGTCCTCTGCGAAACGTGTTTAGTAACACACGCCAGTATCTGCTCCGTGATCAGCACCCACACTTGTCGTTCTGTTAAACACTTAGCGGTACATTAGTAAACAGCGAGACGATGTCAATAATGGTCACGGATTTCTCGCACAGCTCGAGAGCACACTGGAGTTTTGTTAACTCCAAGCTGTGTCTAATCACTGAGTGCCTAACTAGACGCAACAGCGTTACCAGCTGTGAGAAAATGCATATAGAGAATCGCCTCAGCGAGACTGCACTTCGTGCAATTTTATCAACCCATAAATCTACGTTGTCCGAGTGCCCCTGGACGGAAAGGAATTTGGGGTCGAACAATTTATGAAATTTTCTCCCAACAACATTTGCATTTCCGCACATATCCGTGTTTCCAGTTGTTAAGTGTGCCATCAGGTTTAAATATGGTGCGGGCTCTTAGTGTCGCCATCATATTCGCTAACAGAAAGTTTAATCCTCAACATACCTGCTGAATCGTAACCAACCGCTTTGGCGAGAGAGACAGCTTGTTCGCCCATGGCTCTGCGTGTTTCAGGGTCGATGAAAGTGCTAGGTGCCTCTTCGATAACTTTTTGGTTACGGCGTTGAATGGAACACTCACGTTCGTTCAAGTAGATGGCGTTTCCATGGCGATCACAAAGGACCTGGACGAAACGAATGGGTTTACATTGTGGAGAATAACAGACGATGGGTTGAAAACAGTAGATACCCATAATGAATTTCTGGTTGGCGACATAATACATATCGTGCAATCACCATACCGTGACTAACCCGCAATAGTAGAAAACTGTGACTATAATTCACGCACGCAGATTGAGGCATGGATTGGCTTAGGAGGCAAACATATAAATGGGCTACCGGAATACATATTCACAACACTCTAGAACGGAATGATCTGTAGCAGGAAAGGAATATGGTAAGATTATTTTATGGTTGTGCAGAGAATGACACACAAAAATGTCCTAAAAACGTCAAAGCACTTTAATTAATACTAGAGATGCACATTCACAAATAAAAGTCGGTAACGAAGTGCTAGAAGCTGGCGAAAATATTGGTAGGGGAAAGACAGACCTGAATCTCAATGTGACGTGGGTTGTCTATATACTTTTCAATTAACATTCTGTCGTCCCCGAAGGAGGCTTTAGCTTCCGCTTTGGACAAACGAAATCCTTTGCGAGCTTCACTCTCATTCCAAGCAATGCGCATGCCTTTACCACCACCACCGGCAGAAGCCTTGATCATGACTGGATAACCTTGAAAAAAATTGAAAGGCATACGGACAATCAGAAGCACTTGAAAAAAGGACGCTAAAAACTAATAAAACCACTATTTCATAGTATGCTTTCATTGCTCTAGTAGTCAAGTGGATATCGTACAATATATGGGCAACAGTGTTTCAGAAGAACAGCTGCCAGAACGTTATTAAATGATAAATAAAAAAGGTAATGGAATGACTGGTAGAGGGACAGTGAGACGTCAGAAAAAGTAACAAACCAAGTAGCAAGTGAAGTCCCCTATTTAAAAGATGGGTGAAAGGGTTGTATGCAATAGCGTCCAAGAGTTGTAACCATAATATTACAGGTAAAGTACAAATACCCGACAGAGTAGCAAGTTGAGCTATCAAACAAGGTACCGATATTCAGAAACAGAAAGTAGCGAAAAATCGTATTCTCAGAGTTTCATCATCAGGCTAAGAGAACCACGACAAAGCAAGTTAGAATGGATACAAGGGAGTTAAATTAGGTGAGTCGCTGAGGCAAAGTATCTAATCAATAAGACGATGTGACTGGTCTGGCTGAAGTGAAGTGGGGTAAAGCGGCGTGACCAGCTTTGGCCAACGCAATGCGAGAGTTTGGACGAGTTTATTTTGTCTACATAGCTCCGGGTTAAGGGGGCGAATTGCGATCGTCTCTGCTTTCCATAGTAGGCGGCATTTGACTCCTCGTGTGTAACGTCCGGGTATACAGTAGACTGATATGAATGCGTCATGAGAATTGATCTGGTGACCAGAGTCGTCTACTAGGCGTGACAACCCTACGGTCGTTAAGTTCTCCTCACACCGTTGGGTAATGCTCTCGAGCTCTAACGGACAGTCGCCTGGTCGTTTTCCCAATATACCTTGCTCGACACGAGCAAGAGAAATTGTACACACAGAAGGAAATCTGCGACCGAGTCATCCTGTCCATATGCTGTTGGTGTACAATCGGTGTGGAGGAGAAGTTTACGCGCAGATTAGCAGTAAAATACGTTCTCGTTGTTGCTATGAAAAATATTCGGGTGGTCCGTTCCGCCATCGTGTCACCGATAAACGGTAATGATAAGTATAGCAACCGCTTCCCCGCGGAAACAGGTTTTAACTTTAGCGCTCGTAGTTCCGTGTGCCTATGGATGAATTCTTCAGGGTATACATTATGCTCGAACACGCTTCGGGTAAAGCTCAGCTCATCTGAAAGCGCATAGACTGGGCCTATCCTCCTCGCTCTCTGTTAGGCAACGGAAGAGATTTAGTATCTTAATAATGGAAACAAAACTAGCGAAATGGATATATCGCCCATTCCAAGTTTCCTTTCTGTGCACCCTTCACCGAATTGCCCAGTCGGATACCCTATTAGTTTGGACATCTAGAAATGTCAATGAGACGTTACGTTCCAGCTCGATAGTGAAGGTTATCTTATTATGTACAGAGTTGAAGTGGACCAACAGATCATCGACGCGCACCTCACTAACAGCGAAATAAAATATGTCGTCTATATATCGACCGCAATACACCAAGCTGTTCAAGAATTGGTGCAACTGGTTACTCTATAATTGTTAAGTCTCGAACGGCCTGCTCCGAGGAAAATTGCGCTGTCTGAGAATCAAGTCGAGTTGGCGCCACTGATTCAGACCAAATCTTGTAACTTGCATGGAAAAAGAGAATTTCACACAGACCAAAATCAAATGCGCACAGAAACGAAACAACTTGACTCGTTCAGGAAGGTAACCGTGCGTCTGGTATCAGAACAGTCTCAGTTACAAGCAGACTAGTGTTTTTCTGTGTTGCAGAACATTTGTTACTATCGCTTGTTTCACACCACTCACACGTCCCGTGATTCTTGAGATCTATAAATTCAAACTAGCACACAGCCGTGATTTGAACTGTATCGGTGTGTATTCATTCCCATGTCGGCCTGTTCTGTGTTTCGCAAATATACTTCACCTCCGGTGGGTTGTCTTTTGACTCGCGTGGCGCAATCTAAGAAGCTGCTAAGTCAAACACCTGGGGACACACCAATTTCTTCATGAAGACGTCCGTGTGCAACGACTCTGACAGTGAACCAATAGCCATCTCGTCTATTTGTCAATAGAACGCTGCCTAAAACCGAAACCGAATGTCTCTCATACACATCAGTATCGATATTTGTGGGTGTCGAACTCTGTCAAGACGGCAACGCTTAGACTGGTATTCGCTGTTTTGTCGTCAACATCATTCTACATGTCAGAGAGAGATGGGTAGTACCACGGCTATTTGCAATATCTGCGAAAGTGCATCGAGAGACTGGTTGAGGAGTGTAACATTGTATAGCGAGGACAGCACACGGTTATGTTGGCCAGACCTAGAGAATGAAATGTTACTAACGAAGGTCCTTGGTTCCAAAACCCAAATGACGGAAAAGCAGAAATTAGATGGTAGGCTATGAAGAGCCCGTTTTATTTAAATTCGCCTGCACCTATCCTTTGACCAGTCTCGTATGAGTGGATCTGAGAAAGCAAAAAGCACCAACAAGTGCAACTCAATTGATCGTTGGGGCAAGCAAACGGTCGCACCACGCTAAGGTCAGACCTCATTGCCGCTTTGTATTAGAAGGCTAAAATAAACAATATTGTATGTAAAAAATTCGACCGAACAGAGGATGTATGCACAATATTAACCGGTTTGGCAGCTAAGGAGCCTACAGCAACAAGATTACATTGGAACCCACCGTCGATCTAGGCAGCCAACCTTGAGCCAGGCGGATTCAGGGTGGAAGGAACCAAAGTAAATGCTCACTTCAGCTTAGATTAATGTTGATCCTATCCTATTTACCTGACAGTTAATAAGCGGGCTGCAAACTTGGTTTTCGCATTTAATTTCGGTATCGAGTCCAGGGAGCGCGACTGGCATACTGTGCGGTCGAACTATTCTAACGCTCATGCACTTTCCGTCACCGTGCCTCCAAATGTTAGCACAATCCCACATGCATACTCCTTCGACCATGCAGATGTGCACTTGACCTTTCTGCATATCTCGAAGTTGAGCAATATGGATTACCGCAAATTGTCTATCTTGAAAGTTCGCGTTTTCTCTACTGAAAACGCGCAAAAACTCACGCTTTGCATCCCATACCATGAATTGTGACCTCTGGAAGTCCACTTTAGGGGCTCTCTAGCAACGCCACAATTGTTCCTATCGGCATCTACAGGCAAATCTATCATATTTGCAATGGCTGTCGACACCGCCAGAGAGTTACCTACTATAAGCGGCCTAATCTAGCTCCATTAACGTGCGGTCGATAGCTCGCGTGTCTGCCCAACTGCATCGCCGAGCTGTGGCTTTAAGATGTGCGCGCAGATGCGGCCATGTTTACAGTCATCAGATTCCAATCAACAGCCACTGTGAATCTGATCGCTTACGCTCAGTGACTATATCCATACACACCAAAGACTGCGCTCACAACTGTGCCTTGTAATGATTGGAGTGAGGGACGTTCATCACCGGGATTTTTAAACGGACCTAAATAAATAAATAAATATTTTATGCTCGCCAACGCGACGCACGCATATACAGATTAAAGAACGAATCTGAACGATCGAACAGCAAACAGAGCTAGAACAGTCGGTTTCTGTTACATTTCCGCCAAGTTTCCAAACGCCGGCTACATTATGGGTGTTCAATACCACACTGCGTAGAATTTTAGACGCTATAACTCGATTAGCAAGCAGTTTTAACTGTCGGGAGTACGCAATGAAACGCCTGCTATGTCTACTAAAATGCGAAATGCCACAACTAGGACGAAGAAAAGACGCGAACCAGTAACATATCGTAGCAATTATAACACTAAAATCATACTACTAAAAAACGATGAAAAAATAAGAAACAATAGCATTTTGCAGCAATAATGTCACCGAAACGAGGAGCACTTTAACTAAGACAACGCATAAACAAAAAGCAGTAGCTATCCGCTCTGATAATGGAATTGATATACTACATGAAATTCAAATTCGCATCACTGGTCTTGAAGAAGTTATATCACTGAAAACAGAACAGCTGCACTTTGGTGTAAAATACGATCAAGTATTGTCTCTCTGCGAATTGTTTAAAGCCCCAATGAACGTGAAATTAGGCAAACTAAACACGGCTGGTTCTCGCCTGTCCTTACTCGTAACTGGGACTCAGTAAGATTTACACGGATCGAAGAATGTGATTGTGTTTTACATTCTCGACCGATTGGGTACAGAGACATACAAAAAATATTTTGCTCGCGGCATGCAATATGACTTGCTCCGTCTTATGCTCCAGAAGTAGGCGACAAAGAGGTCATGCGCCATCCTCCTTAAATTTCCAGATGAGGCAACTGTTGGACACTTGTACATGGAAAACGGATCATTGCAGCACGAACTGACTTTAAGTAGATTCTAATCAGAAGCGACCAAACGCCACTACAAAGGCGGTTTGGACGTAAGGTGAATCATTCAGACGCACATAGTTCTCGCACTTACACCAATCGCAATGACAAGGATGTAGAGCTTGACAGAACAGTAACACCACCTCTACCTCTACTTAAAATAAGCACCAACACTGATTTCACCAGCACACCCACGAAGTATCATTGTCCAGAAGATAAATGGCACAGGAATAAAGTAATTACTATCACAAACCACACAGAAGGTAGTGCAATATCGTGCAACCCCTCCACAAGCAAGGAGCCCGTCAAGTAAATGTCACCAATTACGAAACAAACTGCAGAGTGGGAAATAAAATATTTCGGAAATTCGGATGAAATAGCCCTCACCGTATATCACAGCAACCCTCCAGGTCCCAACTACAAATAGATGGTACCCAGAGCACCGCACTCCTGGAATACTTTATGGGAATACAAAACAGCCAATAACACCTAAAAACCTTTATCAGGATATGAGAAACGCTCATTAAATCAGCTGAGGAAAACTGTGTGCTGTCGCATTTCGGCGTATGATAATGGAACCGATCTGGTGTCAAGAGTAGCAGACTGAC